CATCAAGATGTTTCTTAAATTTAAAATAATAATAATTTGTAACAAAACTAAATGATATTGTTAGACTGACATCGTTCACACATTTATACATACTGAGGAGAACAGTTTCAGTCAGATGTTTACGTACAGTAGTTTTGGTTCGAACTGCTCGAAGCTTCGTTTCCCCGCTTCCGCGTCCAAGCTCAAATCTTTGCAAAAACAACATGTCATGGCCTCTGTTATCTTTAAGTTCAGCTGAGAATCAGCTGTAATGTTAGTGCTTCCTTTGTTCCTTTTTGTTTTGCCCCAGACAACTTTTTGTCAGCAGCTAATGTTAGCGCTCACCGTCAACTGGCTGTAAACCTACGGCAAGCCAGGAGTGACACACAAAATGGAAACGCGCAGCTTCATCACACACAACACCCATGGGGAAAAATCAATCTTGTGACTTATGAATCGATTTTCTTAAATTTGAACGAAAATCGATTCAGATCGATTAAATCAAATTTTTAAACCCAGTCCTATGAGTTAGAARTTAAATATTACACAATGACTTTAAAAACACATTTAGAACAAAGTGTCTCTCCTCTCCTACAGGACTACAGCCCTTCTGACTGTAGCAAATCAATARGATACTGTTTTAACATTTTAAAATTAATAAAACAAATAAGATTTTTTTACCTGTATATAACAAACATGGAACTGCCCAACTTTTTACTTGAAATAAAAACTGTAAAACATTTATTGGAGTATCAATACCAGTATCGACACTAGTGTTGGTAAGGGTCCAATTATAGGGCATTTTGTACGAGTACGGTACTTGTCAAAATYCAGGTATCGGGACACCACTAATGTTTGGCCACTTTTTGACCACATCCAAAATTCTAGCACAAATTATCCACTAAGCTGGGGTGAGTTTACAAACATAAGGGAAATAAAACAGAATTATGGTTGGCAAACTGTACTAAAAAGTATTCTCAGGGGTCAAATCAGATTGTTTGCAATCAAGCTTAAAATAAGTCGATTCCCYTCACCTGCTGACTGATCTTAATGAAGCTTTTGATGTACATCAATAAGGTTGGATGGAAAGGTCATGCTCTCAGGGAAACAGAGTCATGCTGATAAAAGGCAGGTGACTTACAGAAACGTATTTTCTTAGACTTTCTCTTTGGTGTCAGCTGAGCTGATGGACCAGGCTTCTCCTCATCACCATCAGTACTCGTGCTTCTGATTTTCTTTTCTTTTTTCACTGAATTGCTTTGTAACTCCTCATCTTCTGAACTCCTCCCACTGTCGTCCCCTTTGWCATTCTCTGCCTCTTTCACCATCTCAGGCAGTTGTATGTCAAACTTATAAGAGCCTGCAGGCAAATTAAAGTAAAGCATGAAGCAATGAGCAAAGAATACACTGAAAATTATATKAGTTTCTAATAGTTTTTATCTGTAAATCAAAGCTTCTGTGTTTCTTATTGACATTACAAATACCAGCCAAAAACCTTGAAATACTGTATTAAGAACACCAGTGGATGTAAACGGTCTGCACAGCCCTGTTAAAATGCCAGATTTTCTACAATGTAAAAAACAAACCCCTAATAAATCATTTAAAAACAAATACTGAATCAAATAGTTTTTACTAATACAAGTACTTTAAGTAGTACCTTGTACCTTCAGCAGGCCACAACATGACTTGATACTATCTGCTCGCTCTTTTGGCTGTGGCCCCTCCAGTAGTGTTTTAATGGGGGTTACAAGTGGAAAATCCTGGGGTGGCACCAAAACCAAAGCCAGAACAGAATTTCAGGAGATTTATTCTGTTTTTTTTTTAAGGCTGCACCTGAGGACTGTTTTAATGGTTGACTAATCTGACAATTATTTTTTGATTAGTTGATTAGTTATTTAGTCATAATTATTTCTGTCTCATTCATCAATGCATCCTGTGGGGGCACCYTTAGTTCCAGCTCAAACGCATTAATGCAATGCAAATCATAATCATAATCAAATGCAAATAAATTTTGTTTTGTACTTGCTGTCTCTAGGAGTGCAGAAAGTTGAATTTAGTTTCTACTGGTACTTGACTGAGTCAGCATTTTACTTTTTTGGTTTATTCTTGGTAAAATGTAGCCGATTTCTAAAAGTTTAGGTCTTGTTTTTTGGGTTTTTTTTTTTTGCCTCTCCACCATGATCCTCTTCCCATTCCATCAGTGATATTACCCACCTGCACCTCATTCAGTGGTTTGCAAGCTGGTACGTTCTTCTTCATTAGTAAACAYTGCAGCCACAGACAATAGATGGGATACTGCCCCCAGCTGTTTATGTATTGCATTGCAGTTACAAATGAACATTTATGTGCTTAAATCAGTGGTGGGCAGCGCTAATCCAAAAGTTAGTTGCCCAAGTTCTAAAGCGTTTGCGTTCAATAAAACTTAGCGGAAGCTAATTCTAAAGTACAAAAATGACTCAGAGTTCACCAGAGTACAGGAGTTAGACAATGAAACTGAAAGTAGCACCTGTCATTTTAGTGTGGTACAAACTGCGCTTTATGCTGACGAAGGAGTAAACTAACATGGCTGCAGCTTTAAATCTCAAAAACCCACTGAAGAGAGTTTGTTTGCTTTTATCATTTTATCGACAAAAATCCCACGGATATTCACTCCGATGCAGAGCTCGATGCAGAGCTCGATCTGGGCTAAGGCTGGCTACTGAAGGAGTCTCGTCCAAACCACTGTGAGTCAGACAGCTTCCAGCAATATCAACAAAAACCCTGAATCTGTACCTGATGAGTTAAATTGTAAATGTGGTTTGTGCCCGTTTTACTATTTAATCATGCAGTTCTTTGCTTTTACTAAATGAAATTATAAGATAAGACTAATAACACTAATAAGACTCCTATCTCAAACCTCCAAATTCAACCACATCTCCACGATCCTAGCAGAACTTCACTGGCTTCCGGTTGAATTCAGAATCCGGTTCAAAATCCTGGTCCTCACGTTCAGAGCTCTTCATGGTCAAGCACCTGAATGTATTAAAACTCTCATCTCCCCGTACAACCCCAGACAGGACCAACATCTCCTTATGGTTCCCCTCACTCGATTTAAGGCCTGTGGTGACCATGCCTTCTCCTCTGTGGCCCCCAGACTCTGGAATGAACTCCCTGTTAATCTGCGCTCCATTGATAACATTGTCTCTTTCAAGAAACACATAAAAACCAGCTTTTTTACTCAAGCGTTAAGCTAACCATTCACCATTAATACCAGCCTACCTCTACAGGGAATGCTCGTCAACTATGTGTTTTTCTATTATTGAACATATGGCATATTTTTCTCTCCCCCATTCTCTATGTTTTGTGTATTATTTGTATATTTTGCTCTGCATTGACTGTGTGTCTGAGTTACAATTTTAGAATTTAATCTTGATTGGATGTTTCATTATGTTGCTTATGTTTTATTAAGTTTTATTCTGTTTCATTTTATCTTTCCACCATTTTACATTGTTAATGATTGTACAGCACCTTGTGAATATATTTCTGTGAAAGGCGCTTCATAAATAAAACTTTACTTACTTACTTAAACTTACTTACTTAAACTTACTTACTTACTGTGAATGGCGTTAGCATTGGTGCTAGCTACTATTAGCCTAGTGTTAGCCTGTATGTTAGCATTTTAATTTGCAGCTATGTCTTAGAATTATTAAGCCTATGCTTAGTAGCCGCATGCTGGCAAAACTATATAAATGGCTTAATTTAACTGTCTCAATTCTGAGTAAGCCCGAAATAATAAACAATCCTCTTCCCAAATACACACTAAAATATTTTGTCTACACGGCAGGATTAAAAGGATGAGATGATTAGCCCTCAGGGGCTATAAAAGTCCCCAGTTTGTTTTAATAAAAATATAAGCTAACAAAGTTTTAAGAGGCAGTTTATTTATTTTTGTTTATCATTTATTTAAAATGACTTCAGCTGTATGAAACCCTTCAGTTCATCTCTAAAAGTTACAAGCGAACTAGCACCAGTTAAGTTTGTTTAGAATAAGGGGGAAGAAAACATCTAATCACAATACTTTTATACAATTAATACACTTCTGAGGGGCTTAGAAACATTTTACTTCCAGAACTGTTGACATTTATGATTTTACATTTGTGTGTGTATTCAGGGAAAGACAAGTTCGTTGATGTCAGTAGTAGGTATTAGCTAACATCGGGACAAGAGCTGCCACAAACGATTATTTTTATAGTCGATTAATCACCGATTATTTTTTCAATTAGTCGGATCATACGTTAATTGAATATACAGCTTATCGCGCCAGAATGCAGCTGCTATTATATAACATCATTAAAATTTAGCTATATGCTAAATAAAACTAAATTGCTGTGGAAAGCAGGTTCTGCCTTGCAGATATTGCACAGGTTTCTCTT